GAATAAAACCGGCTTTGTAAAATTATAAAACAACAAAACAAAGTTAAGTTTTAAGTATCAAAATATGCGAAAAAAACAAACCAAGAGAATAAGCAAATCTACATATTGCACATAGCATACACAAACTTCTGCTACTAAATTTTTAAAATCTAAATGTCACTTACATAAAAACATACGATACAAATTATCAAGACTCACTCAACAAAAAATAGAAAACTAGTCTAGACTGAGTTATAGAAAACTCTTCTCATCCAATTAAAGGGTACAAAATCAGACAATTTTAGAGGGATTTTTTTTTTTTGCAAATTTCATTAAAACATTATGTTATTTAAACTGCTCCAGAACATAGGGTGGAAAAATAAAAGCCTTTACATTTAAGTGTTCAGAGTAAGATCAGCCTCCTTCCAAAACTAAAGAAAGATAGTTCTCCAAAAAGGAAACTGATTTGTCTAATTTATGATGAAAACTTTTAACAAAATTGTGACAAATCAAAAATAGCTGAATCATAAAAGATCAATTCACATGACCAAGCTGATTTATTTCTAAAATCCAAGGGTGGCTTAATAACAGGAATATTATTAATATAATACAACACATGCAGAGGTTATAGAGTAATATGGTGACATTACATTCATTGATAAATGCAAAAAAATTGAAAAATCTGATTTTTAAAAAAATAGAGATTTCTATTTTTAGAAATAGAAAAAATACGAATATCAAAACAAGAATATGCTTAATGTAAATACTAGCAGCATTCCCATTAAAGTTAAAATAAAATACAAGGATGTCCAATGTATTCTTTTCATTTTAAACATTCTCAAAATTCTATTCAAAAACAATGAAAGATATACAATATAGCTATGAATCACAGAAATTCTAGGTATCTATCAAGAAAATCCAAAGTACCAACTCAGAAACTATAAAAACTAATAAAAAGTTCAGTAAGAAGGTTAATTTTCAAGTAAATATATAAAAATCAATACCTTTCCTAAAAGCAGTATTTAAAAATAGAAGTACTCTTTCACAACAGAAACAAAGGTAAACAGAAATACAAAATGAAAACTAAAAAGGTGAAGGCATAACAAAATTCGAATCAACAAAACAAAACATCATGTTCCTTAGTAGTAAGACTGGATATAAAAAATTGTCTCTCCCAAACTATTCTACAAATTTAATCCAATGGAAATATTTGGTATTTGATACAATCACTGTGAATCATATTCCGAATAAACTATTCAGAAAAAATAGGTAGAAGTCTTTAAGTTGCTTTTGAAAACCACAGGATATTAGATTATGTTTTAAAGTCAAGGTAATTTAGAAACACAGTGGTACCAGAGCAACAAAAAAACCCCAAAACATATACTAGTGTGTATGCAGGACTATAGATTATGAGAGCTGTGGTGTTTCAAACCAAAGGGGACACATGACCAAGAGGTCAAAATAATTGAATTCAAATTCAAAAAGTAAAGAAGTATAAGCAAGTTATGGTGACGCTTTATCAATCAGGTTCTAATCCGTTTTTACTAACCTGACCATTGTCTGTAACAGCCAAACCAGAGCAACCATGTTTAGTGGCTTCTGAATGATATTTTGTACCTTTCTTTCATTAGTGGATCAGGTACACAGTTGTAAATGTGAAATGTCTAACAACTCAATAAATTCATCAACAACATTTTAAAACTTCTTGGAGAATGAATTTAGTTGTAGTTACTTAACCACTCAGAATAGGATTAAGTTAAATCCCAATTCACAGAAAATACTAAAATAAATCCGGATGGGTGCTGTTAAATATAAACACTGAAAACATACGATCAAATGCACTTCAAAAAGGCTGAACTAATTTAATACTTCCACCAGCACTGTAGTACCCAATTTCCCTAGTCTTCAGCAACATATGTTCATCCTCTTTGAGAAATCCAACTTCTAGGAATTCAAGGCAATAATCAGAAACATATATGAAAACAAATAATTAAGGGTATCTACTGCAAGACAGCTTATAATTTTGAAATGTGGAGAAAGACTTAAATCTTCAATCTGTTATCATTCAAGTCATTTATTGTACCTTACTCAACAGACTATTACACAGACACTACTAACGATGCTGCTGAATAATATTTAACGGACAAGGGGAAATTATTTTTTTTACAAATTATTGTGTAGTTTTAAAAAATGTAGTGTTACATATAAGCTTTCATACTGTAATCCCAGATCTGTAAAAGAGTAAAATTTAATTTAAAAATTATGTGAATGTGAGTAAGTTTAAGAACAGATAACAAAATGTTAAAGAATTTTTTTTTGGGATGCTCTCATTCTAAAGTTTGTTCTTTAAACTGTTTTTAATTTACTTACTTTCCTGTATTAAATATGTACTGTTTTATCATCAGAAAAACATGCATTTTACCTGGCATACTGGTACTTCTATGAATTACAAACATATATATCCGTGTATAATAATATTTATCTCAGCAATATTTTAAAAAGAAAATAATTAGAAACAACTTAACTGTCTTACAAAGAAAGGTTTGGATAAATAAATTATAGTACTTCTATTGGATGTCTCCTAAAACTGTTTCACAGGAATATTTAATAACCAGAAAGAAAATGTTGGTAACATAAAATTTGATTAAAATACAGAATATGAAATTGCATGGGTTATGAGTCTTATTTTTAAAAAATAAATGCATAACTATATGTATGCAGAAATCATACATTGCATTATAAAAAAGGCTGGTAAGAAGCAACAAATGTTAAAGTGATTATCTCTGGATGATGCATTGTCAATGGTTTTATTTTCTTCTTAACACCATTCTGTTTTCCAAATTCACTACATAGTGAGTTTGGAAAGTGTGATATACATGCAAGAATATCCAAAGAAGAAGGGGGAAGAAGGATAGGAAATTTAAAAATAAAGCAGCCATCTGTCCCACTGCTTTGAATTAGTTTTAATTAAAGAATTTTATTCATTTTAAAATTTCAAATGACACCAGAGAAATTTATTTTATCTATCACATAAAGGTATAGGTTTTTTTAATAAACAGAGAAGCACTGCTCCAAAATGTATACATTTAATTTAAAACACTGTATTTTTTAATAAAGATTAAAGTGTTATGGCTTCTATTTTTAAGTGAATAAATATAGTTAGTAAAAATGCAATATACTTGTAGCACTTCTGAAAATTATATTGACTATCATATCAGGAATAAATATGCCTTTATATTTTACTCATAAGGAGCACCCAACATATAAATAAAATTATATTTAATTCACTGTTCTTTTATCCTCTAAAAATAGTATATAGCATCATTACCAGTTAAATAGGGAAATCACTAGGTTTCTTTACTTATTTTGATAATACTTAGAATGAGTTTCAATTAAGGTAACTTAAAGTTAATTAAAAGCTTAAGGCTAACAAATATTTCTGAGAAATATAACATTCCATAATTAGTTTAAAATCACACACACAAAAAAGTGTGAAAGAATATATCAAGAATATTCCTATCACAATTCACATAAATCAATATACTTGCTCAACTTTTAGTCAAAATATACACATTTAAAAGGATAAAACATTTAAAAATTAATTACTTAAACCATTTGAAAATCTTAGAAAAGTGTTTATAACTAAACCAGGTATTATGCTACCTAGTCTTCCTACAATTATTGCATAAATAAATGAATCTGACAAAAGCTTTTTTTCATACATGTGAAGTAATTCTAGAATACACAATATCCTATTTTCCACATAAATAATGACCATTAGGAATGACTCCTTCAACGGTTGAAATCATTAATTTTCAGAAATATCCCCTTAAAGACCATTATCATATTCATGCTTTTAACAACTTAGAGGATTTAAATGAAATGGATGATATAGCTCTCATGTCTCAGTTGTTAAAAGCTTTTCAATCTTTCCAACAAATGATTGAGACCTTGGAGATTTTGTAACTTGTCATACATACAGTTCTTCTCAAGCCCCAATGTAAGTTTTCTTGTATGCCAGAAAAAAAAAATTCTTTTCTTTTACACAAAAAGATTGCCATTATAACATTAATACTTGAAACTTGATGATTCAATTTTAAAATGCTGATATTAAGTTCATACAAGTATATTATTTTTCACATCCATAATGTTTGACTATCAGGTGTTTTACAAATAATTCTTAGTTTTGTATATATTAAAGTACTAAACACAAAAATCTTGAATGAGGCTATATTTTTTAAAGTTTTGTGGGTACACTCAGTTTTTTTTTTAATGGTCTCATGAGACAAACAGTAGAGAAAACCAATGAAACAAAACACTAGTTCTATGAAAAAGTCAATAAAGCTGATAAACCTCTAAAGTTAGACTGACAAAGAAAAAAAGGGAAAAAATTATCATTAACAGGAATTAATTAGGTGCTATCACTACAGACCCTGCAGAAATCAAAAAGATAGTAAGAGAATACTACCCACAACCCTGCACATACATTTAACAACTTAGAAGAAATGGACCAATTCCTAAAAAGCACAAACTACCACAACTCACTCAAGACAGAAGACATAATTTGTATAGCCCTAATAACTATTAAAGAAATTTCATTTCTAATGGTGCACTGGCTCACAGTAATCCTAGCACTTTGGTAGGCCAAAGCAGGCGGATCACTTGAGGTCAGGAGTCTGAGACCAGACTGGCCAACATGGCAAAACCCCATCTCTACTAAAAATACAAAAATTAGCTGGGCGTGGTGGCATGCACCTGTAGTCTCAGCCACTCAGGGGAGCTGAGGCAGGATAATCACTTGAATCTGAGAGGTTGCAGTGAGCCGAGATCACACCACTGCACTCCAGCTTCAGCGACAGAGTGAGACTCCATCTCAAAAAGAAAAAAGAAATTTTATTTCTAGTGTAAAAGATTACCAAGAAAGGAATCTCCAGATTCAGATGGTTTCACTGCAGAATTCTATCAAAGTTTACAAATTAACACCAATGCTACACAAGGGCTTCCAGCAAATAAGAGGCGGGAACACTTCCCAACTAATTTCATGAGGTCAGTAATACCATGATACCAAAAGCAGACACAGTACCAAAACCAAAAAAAAAAAAAAAGAAAAGAAAGAAAACTATAGACCAATATTCCTCATTAGTAGAAATTAAAAAATTCTTAAAATATTAGCAATTTGTACACAATAACCAAGTGGGGTTTACTCCAAAAAAAAAAAAAAGGGGGAGGTCTCATTCAACATTCGAAAATAAATCAACATAATATACCACAGTAGCAGGCTAAAGAAGAAAAATTACACAATCAGATGTCACCATCAAGAAAAATTACACAATCAGATGTCACCATCGGAGGATACTAGTAAACCTTTAGTTGCCTTCAATTTGGATGAAATCAATCATTACACTTTAAAGGACTTGCAACATTTGAGATAGAGTTACCAGACTCTATTTGAAATGTTGCGTAACACCTGAATTTTAAGAACTAGAGAAAACAAGACACTGAAACATTTTTTCAAAGTTGATAATTTTTTAAAAAAACTTCTTTTCTACAGTTAAGATGCCTGCATGCCATCTCAATTGGGAAAGAAAACTGTCTTACCATAATTAAACTGACTGTTGGACTTTTCACAGTTAATGATGTTAAACCTGTAAGCAACACCTGGCCGAATTCCACTCACTTCAAAGTAAAACCACTGATGGTAATGATTGCTGTTTATATCTGAATTCAGAATAAGATCATATTCATTTCTGAAAACAGAAGACAAAGAAATCTAATAAAAATTAGGAAAATATCTGTGCACATACAAAATGAGAAAATCTTAAGTGACTTACTTTCTAATTTGAATTACTTTACGCAGATTCCCAGATTCAAATTTGGAGTTAAATTTCAAAATATCTCCTTCTTCTGGAATAGTATAACTAAATAAAAATATTAAAATACATTGCATTTAAACAGATGAGAGAAAAGTAAATAAAATTATAATTAAAAATACATCACTATTGCCATATCACCTTCCTCATTATTTTTAAGCTAAGGAACAAAACAAGCACAATCACTGCATTAAATGTGGATAACATTTATAGACAAAAACTTATAATTAGAGACTTGCTCTTATGTTTATACTGATATAATAAGAGCTCTTGCCTCACTGTATGCATGTCATTTCTAAAATACTTATTTTTATACAGAAAGTAACATTTTTTAAACTGCTATGACCTGTACTGAGCAGCAATCATTCTCATAAACCATGCAGTTCTCCAGTGAAAATATTATTTTCAATTTGAAGAGCTAAATTACCTATTATTTTATTTAATTTAGCATCAGAAAGGCACACGTGTTATTCTCATTTTACATACTGATTATTAAATAAGCATTTACCATGTATCTACTAGGTGCCAGATACTGTTTGAGACATTTGTCGGTTTGGTTCCCTGGCTGAATGCAAACTTTGTTCTTCTGGAGCCTACTCTCTAATAAGACAAGACGAGGACTCTAAGATGCTCAATGATTCTGTCCAATAGCACTTGGTATGCCATACTCAGGGTTCCTGAGTTTCTGTTTCTACCACTTCTGCCTGTCTTATCTGACACAGAATTACAAATGTTGGAATAATTAAATAAATAAGGAATATGTTTCTTCTACTTTATAACAACATTATTCCAAATGTAATCATTAGCTTTGCTACAGCTTATACTCTTATCTAACAAAACCCCTTAAAGAAAGTGTTTTAGCTAGGCGTAGCAACTCACACTTGTAATCCCAGTACTTTGGGAGGCCAAGGCAGGCAGAACACCTGAGGTCAGGAGTTCGAGACCAGCCTGGCCAACATGGTGAAACCCTGTCTCTACTAAAAATACAAAAAATTAGCCAGGTGTTGGTGGCGCATGTCTGTAGTCCCAGCCACTCAGGAGGCTGAGGAGGGGAATCGCTTAAGCCCAAGAGGCAGAGGTTGCAGTGAGCTGAGATTGCACCACAGCACTCTAGGCTGGGCAACAAACAAAGTGAGTGAGACTCTGTCTCCAAAAAAAAAAAAAAAACTGTTTTTTTTCCCTCCACTTATGATTGGTAAGATGTGAAATTTTCCAAAAATATTAGTATGTTGAGGGAGACAAGAAAGCCACTGAGGGCTAATTGAATTTCTCATATGAGAAGGCAGGTGACTAAATAATAGTCAAACTTAATATTTGTAATTTTCATTTATTTACTTCTATTTAACTCCTAAAATGTGGTATCAGTGAACAATCCTAAATAGTAAATGACTAGCACAAAAAATGCATTCCAAAGATTGAGCAGACAACCTAAATGACTGAAGCCAATTATAAGCAGTGAGAGACAAGAGGGTATGGTGGGGACTGTGGAGAAGCATCAAGCAGATGCTCCTTTTAAAAAGATGGCAATTTGTTATCCTAATGAAATAAAGGCTCAGTATTGCAGGACAAGCCAGCATTTTATGTGAAATATCCACTCTCCTAAGTGAAAGTAATTTCAATTTTTTAAAAAACAAAACATCACTGTGTAACCTTTACCTTAAGCCCATTAAAAATCTACCTAAAAACAAACAAAAGCTCATGATAGAGTTAAGTGAGTAAATGTGATTTACCATTACCATTATATCCCAAAGGATGAAAACCTAATAAGGAGAAACTAGTTAGAAATTAACTATATTTTTTATTTATTATTTTTAAAACTACCAACATTTTTCACAGAATATAATTTTTATCTTTTAGAAATAACACTAAAATTTTATATAAAAAGTTAAAACTAATAAAAGTTTATTAAAATCAAGACTTACTATTCAGGTTTTTATGAAAAAAAAGAAAAAAAGTCAAGACTTACTTTGGGTTATCTAAGTCATATACCACACGATCTATGATATCACTCTGATGTATTAGCCTTTCAATATCTTGAGCAATTTTTGTCCTGAAATCATAAAGGTTTAACCAAAATGTATTATTATACACTGATGTACAGCTTTCTCCAAAATAAATTTTGAATTTAAAAAGTGTATAAAAATTTCTTAAAATTAAAATGATCATTCTTCAATATATTTTGCATACCAAAAAATTAGCAGTACGTAACAAGACAAAAATCAGTATCAGAATTTGACTTTTAGAAAATAACCACACAGAATACACCCATAAGTCCAATCATTAAAAAAAAACAAACAAACAAAAAAAAACTTTGAATGTCTATTATGCCTTTCTACATAGAAATGGCAAGATTTCACTATCAAACCCTTGGGCAAATAATTTTGTATACATAATAGCAGCATTACTAGAAGGTATAAAGATCTGAAAAGCCAGAGATTATATAAGAAGAATAATTTTTTTTAAAACCACCTGGCTGGAATTTAGCTAAAATGCAGTTGGCAATCAGCCTGCATGTTCTATAGAATTTCTCTTTTGCGGTAGGAAAAGAAAGGTAGAGGGAAAGGAAACACCTGTTTGAGGGAGCAGAGGATGATTCCCTGAGTATGTAAAATTCTCTAGACTTGATCTCTCTCTCTGAATCAGTCCAATAAAATAAACACTAACTAACTAGAAAATTCTTATAACCCTATCACTGTCCTAGAAGGCTAAGTCACCCTTAAAGAACCCACATTCTACTCCATCAATATTTAAGTGAAGGAAGACAACAATTGCCAAACTGTGTCAAAACAGGTGATACCAGCTGGGCTTGGTTGTTCACGCCTATAATTCCAGCACTTTGGGAGGCCAAGGATGAAGGAGCACGAGGTCAGGAGTTCAAGACCAGCCTGACCAACATAGTGAAGCCCTATCTCAAAAAAAAAAAAAAAAAAAAAAAAAACAGATGACACCAAAATGTGGATTTGGTTCCTAAAGCCAGATTGCCTAGAACTTCAGGTAGACTGGCCACAAAGCCCTACTAGTGTTAATACATAGCTACTTTTCATGTAAAACTTATTCTTAAAGAGGAAGGTGATTATATGCACTGATTTAAATTTCAAGTTTGTTCATTTCAGCTAAAGATAAGTAATGCAGATTAGAACTGTGGCTTATAGATTTATTGAGAGCAGGGTGAGAAAGTGTACCAAAATAGTTTATAAAAAAATCTCAAGAATGGATTAAACACTGACAGTCTTAAACTTCAGGCAAATCTGAAACTAGTCTCCTGCACAAAGACACTTTTCCATGATTAAAGGATATTAACTCTCACATAGTTTAGAAATATATCTAACAATAACAATTAGGGTAGATTCTTGGCTTAAATTCAAAATAAGCCAAGAACCTACCCTAATTGAAAACTTAAAAATTACCAAGAAAATATCAGAAGGTATGATAGTTAAACATATAAACAAAGGATACTAAAAAAGCAAGTATAAAGCTAAAACTCTTAATCTACTAATTAAGCAGTTAAGTACAATTTACTTTTAATTTTATCCTGCAAAAAATAACTCACTACTGATACAGTAGTCTATCAGAAAGAAAAGATCTAGTATCAAAAAAGTAAGCTACACATTCTTGATTTAAGTTTAATATCATAACTTTAAAATGCCAATTCTAAAGAAGCAAGCTTTTTTAAAAGCTATCAGTTACAGTAATACATAAATAAATTCAGAATTTACATCAACAAGACTGTCAATAGTGAAGAAAATGGCACTTTTATATACTGAAAAATACCACACATAAAATTTAGTGTTCAAGTATGGGTGAATGACTAAATATATCTCTTTATCACAATAATTTATTTAATTAATAAAGTTGAAATATCCCACAAATATGTAAAAGTTAATATTCACAAAGGCTTGGTTTTTGTTTTTTTAGCAAAATGGTATGAGAAGGCTGGTTTTAGCAACTCAGTTCCATTCCACAGCAATGTTCCATAATGCAAAACAGTGTCAAAGAACATGGGCCCAACAGGGGCCAGCAGGTACGAGAACTGAGTGAGGCTGACTGGCAGCACTGTGGAAAACTGAGGACTATAGCTTCTGTCTAAAAACAAGGTGCCTGCTTAGTACTAAGTAGGAAACAGATGTGAAAGTTATTGACAACCTTCAAGAAACACCAGAAACTTGGACTTCTTTGCGGATGTGGAATCTCCCAAATTTTAAATGCTGGCAATTGGTTTAAAAAAAAAAAAGCCACTCTGCAAATAAAGCCAAATCATGTGCAAGTTGAAAACAACCTATATGCCTCTGTTTGTAAACCTGTAACAGTGTATTTTGGGGGACATAATTGCCCATTTATATTAGACTACAACTAAGATACTTGAGGGAAATCTTTGCCCTGCCCTAAGCCCCTAGAAGGGGGGCCATGCACAGTGGCTCACGCCTGTAATCCCAGCACTTGGGAGACGAAGCGGGTGAGGTCAGGAGTTTGAGACCAGCCTGGTCAACATGGTGAAACCCAGTGTCTACTAAAAATACAAAAATTAGCTGGGTGTGGTGGCACACGTCTGTACTCCCAGCTACGCAGGAGGCTGAGGCATGAGAATCTATTTATTTATTTATTCATTTTTATTTTTTAAGACAGAGTTTTGCTCTGTCACCCAGGCTGGAATGCAGTGGCATGACCACAGCTCACTGCAGTCTCTGCCTCCTGGGTTCAAGCAATGCTCCTCCCTCAGCCTCCTAAGTAGTTAGGACTATAGGCATGTGCCACCACACCCAGCTAATTTTTATATTTTTAATAGAAACAGGGTTTCATCAGATTGGCCAGTCTGGTCTCAAACTCCTGACCTCAATTGATCCACCCACCTTGGCCTCCCAAAGTGCTGGGATTGAGGGGTGAGCCACCACACTAAGGCCCCAAGACCTATTTAAATACCCCTTAGCTTCAGATATCACCGCTGCAGGTCTTGACAGCTTATCTGATTAAGCAATCCAAACTCTCATTCCTGAGTGGTTCAGCCCCTGGGAATCATTCTCGTTCCAGGGTGGCTGTGATATGGCCATTTACAGTTAAAATTGGGCAAGGGAGTAGGCAAGAGGCCAATTACTGGATTGCCTGTGTTCCAAACACAGTCAACTCATTGCCATTGTGTAAAAACAACCCTATCTCTATTAGCTGATCTGGGTCAATCACTTGTGTCAAGATGGTAAGCCTTTCCCCTCACATGCTGGTCCTAGATACAAGGAGTCCAGAGTACCCCATTGGCAACCACAGCTTGTTGTTATATTGTACCCTTGCTGTGTCCCCTGTGGTAAGACTGCACCCACTTAGGGAATGAGGACTTCTAATCCTGCAGAGCCCAGAGATGGAGGCACAGAAAACAGAAAGTCCCTGGATGGATACTGGATGCTACACTAAATAGGGCCACTTCTGTTCCCACCTCCTAGTTCCTAGGCCTATGTACTCTTTCTACCAAACTCTGTAAACATTTCTAATTTAGTGTATGTACCGCATGCTGCAAGATGGCAACCCAACCATGCAGAGGATTTCCTGAGTTACAGCTTCGCCTGAGCCTTTTGAAGCCCCACTCCACGAGGCCAGCTGCCTCTGGATGGTGCCATCTGTAACATGGTAGATGCCCTGGCACAGGCCCACTCCCACACATCTTTCCCAGGGAAGTAAGTCCCCCATTCTGATGCTATGATGTGTGGGATGACACATCAAGGGGCCAACCAGTGGCACTAAACATACACTAAGTAAAAATAATGAATTATATAAGATGCTACAGGTAAAAAACAAATAAATAAGATACAGTTATTTTCTCAAAGGAACTTATAGTCTAAGGAGAATCAAATACTCACAGCAAGTTCTTCCTTGTTCATTACATACTATACTTGTAACAAGGGATACAATTTTTTTTCAGATACTGATATAAGCCATTATCATAAAACCGTCACAAAAACCAGTCCAGATGCACCAAAAAAGGTATTTTTATATGACAAATATTAACTACTTGGCAATATTTAATATTATTTGTAATATCTAATCTTACTGGGCAATATTTAATAATCTAGTTACTGCTTTTATGAATCCCATATTTTTCTCTTATGTATTTCTAACTATTTTCCAATTAAAATATCAAATTTTACAAGATAATCTGTCCATATTGCTTTATAATGTATTTTTATTTTTTTAGTTTTTAATTTTTTGTTACTACATAGTAGGCGTGTGTGTGTGTGTGTGTGTGTGTGTGTGTGTATTTATGGAGTACATGAGATATTTTGATACAGGTGCACAATGCATAATAATCACAACAGGGTAAAAGGGGTATCCCTCACTTCAAGCATTTATCCTTTCTTTGTGTTGCAAACAACCAATTATACTCTTTTAGTTATTTCTTAAAAGCACAATAAATTACTGTTGACTATAGTTGCCCTGTTGTGATTTATAGCCTATTTTTAAATCATATACTTAAATCAAGTTCAAACAACAAATTACAAAGTTAACAAATATTGCTAATGTAATATTTATTCAAAGATTATTAAGTAATCTGCTTTTATATTTTGAGATTCAGTATTAATAGAAAATTTCTAAACTATCCAATGGTCAGGTTTATCATTCTCCCTTCCTCTGAATAAGGAATGTTCAAGAAATAAAGTAAACCAACAAGGACAATTTCAAAAATCCAAAATTTCCAAAGCAGAATTTAAAAATACAGTAACTTATAACTCAGAGTTATCAAGTCCTAAATAGCCAAAGTACTGCTTTTTAAGTCTGCCTCATATCTTGACAATAGTCTTATTTAGAAGAGGGAAGAAATACGTAACTCACCTTTGTACACCATACGGCCTTTCTAAAATAGGCTCTTTGAATGGTGGTGGAATGTGACCAAAATAATCAGGATAAGCCACCTCTGAATATTCTGGGACAGACTTTGTATTTTTCACAATCTCAATATAGAGGTCTGGGTCATGGAGTGTTGGTCCATCAGGTACTTCAACTGATGCTTGTTCTACTGATGAATTTGACTCAGTATCTTCATCATCTTCAGTTTCAACTCCAGTGCAGCAAAGCTTCCCTAGCTGAACTGTTCTTCCCTCAAACAGGACATTTCCACAAGCAGCCATATGTGGACATGCTTTAGCACATGTAAGGACAGTGAGAGGAAGACTGCAGTCCTTCTTCGTTTCTGCAGTAAAACCTGGGGCTGTTTGAGAAGGAATATTCTGCAATGTAATTCGGTCCAAGGCCTTCACAATATCATTGTTTAAACCATGAACTGATGAAATAGTTCTATTTTGATCACCTGGCTGCTGTTGCAATGTTCTATCATCTTTAATATCTTCTTTTGCCAGATCCATAAAGATGGACTTCTTTTCACCTTCATCTCCTCTAGAAGGTATGTTCTCCTTCATTACAACTTTTCTTAAACTGCCAGAATTCCCAGATGTTTCCTCGCCTGCTGTAGGAACAACAATAGGACCACGTACTTTTCCCTCAAATACAAAAGGCTTTGGTTCTTTGGAGATTAAATCATAGTCCTTTGAAAATTAAAAAAAAAAATGTTTAATCTTTTAACTGTAAATATTACAAAATATTAACAAAACTAATACGTTCATTTTATATACTGCTTCAGAAACCTTTGAAAATTTTAAAGATGGATAAAACAGGATATGCTTTCATTTCACTAACAAAAGACAAAATTTTTAACCACAACAAAATTCGTAACATCTACTTTACTTTTTCTATTATAAAAATAATGTCTATTGACAGTATCACAGAAATGTGAGAAATCTTAGAAAAGTAGAAACACTTAAAGAATTCAAAATTCTATTAGGGACAACAATTAAATTGTTATTCATTAATGCAATAATGAATAACAGTGTCTATTTTGTGCAATACTTATGAAGTGTCTATTTTGTGCCAAGCCTTGTTTCAGGTACTTAAGACACTTAAAAAACCAACTCTTCCCTTTTGTAGCTTACATTTTTATAGGAGTAGAAGAGAGGACTGTCAATACAACAAGTAATAAATACAATATATATTTTATATATAGAACATTAGAAGGGTAACATTACAAGAGGGCAAGGCCAGGCACAGTGGCTCACATCTGTAATCCCAGGGAGGCTGAGACAGGTAGATCACCTAAGGTCAGGAGTTCAAGACCAGCCTGGCCAACATGGTGAAACCCTGTCTCTACTGAAAATATAAAAATTAGCCAGACATGGTGGGACGCCTGTAATCCCAGATACTCAGAAGGCTGAGGCATGAGAATCGCTTGAACCTGGGAGGTGGAGGTTGCAGTGAGCCGAGATCATGCCACTGCACTCCAGCCTGGATGACAAAGTGAGACTCTATCT